GCCCCTAGTGGCCATGGTAGACAAAACTGACATGCTTTGGTCATATGCTACGAACCAAGTCTGGATTTAGGAATAATCTATTGCTTGGTAAAACACAGGACCCGCGACAGAGAGGGGGCAGTGCACAAAACAAGAAAAATCATCGGAAGAAATCTCGTTTATTTCAATCAATGAACAGAGATTGCGCAGGGTGTTACCCCTCCTGGTTGTCAGGCTTGGTAAAATTTGTGATTTTAAGCACTTGCCACTAAATCTGTGCTTAAAGTGTGATGCAGCCTTTTTCTCCAGTTTATCATTTCTTACTCTGTCGAGTGAATCGAATCTGTAATGCTTTTTGTCGTTACCCCCCAACCTTTGTCTATAATTGGCAAACTCGCCCGAGATTTATAAAAAAAAATTAAGATTGAGTATCAAGTTTAGCATCTTCATTTGGTGGTGCAAGGGTTTCTTACAGATGGCAGGCAATTAAGATTCCTTCAATATCTGCCGCTCAGAAGCTTCTGGCATTGGTTTTCCTTTCTCCCTGATTTGGAAGATACCAAACGGGCCAGATTGCAAGAAACAGGGATGTGATTGGAGAATTGGGAAAAATCCTGAAACTGCAAGCGCGACACGCAGCCGAGACTTCAGAAAACATGAAAGTATGAACATCAAATGCGGCCTTCATATTACGCGCTGCGTGTGTGCAAGCGCAATGAGCATGAACACTGCGGTGCGTGTACGTACGATGCAGCTGGGCTCGATAAGCACGCTAGGTTTCTCATTTACTCATATAAAATGCACGCGAAATACAGTGCTGCAGCCGAACTGCCGAACCGAACCAAAACTCGTCGAACATGGCACTTTCGAACCGAACCGAACTGGTCGGTTCAGATGTTCGGCTTTCATATGGCATGGCATTGATAGGGCACGGAATGCACTCACGAAAACGTGATAAAAAAACAAACACCACGAAAAATGGATAACGTGTTGTGCCGCACCGGCGCTCAGCACATGTGCGTGCACACACGTACATGTACATGTACATGTACCTGTACTATGAATGTACTGTACGTGTACAAGTACATACAAGTATATACACATGTACGTGTACATGTACATTGTACATGTACAGTAAACTTACGATGGCCCCGCATCACGCGATGGTTGTAAAAAGCACGCGGTGAGATTTTTCTAATAATCAACCGAGAACATGCAACGTACGCCTTTCCACTGCACAACATTTCTAAATTCTCACTACATCCGACTGTGCTTAAGTATATTCAGATTTAGGATCATGTTTATAAATTTCCAATAGCCACGCCTTTACGCTCCACATTAGGCCAATGATGTCATAAATGGCCGTGCAAAACGAATTCTGATTGGATGCTGATCACAGTCGGACTCATGGTCGATGGATGCAACTCCGGAGGGAAAACTGATTTTGCCAGGCGGGCCTGTCCAGCGCTCCAGAGCGAGACAAGATTTGGGTCGTGCTGCAGCCCAACTTGCCTTTCGTTGACCGTATTTGATCGAAGTTGAAGCGTGAATACGTTGTAATGGAATTCAGCCAAATCTCTAAGTTTTAGCAAATCTAAAATAACAAAATGCCGTTATCCGTTCAAAAATGACTAATGGAAAACGCCCCTTTGACTACGTGGGCTCCATCCTGAAAACTTGATACCAAAGTTCTTCTTGGAATACATCGAAAGCCATGGTTTGGCTGTTGAATCTTTTCGTGAAAAATAACCAAAACCAATTCGCTCAAAATCTCATTGCCAATATCGACCATGCATGTCACACTCAGTCATACATGTACATGTTTGTAACGGAGTTTTCCTATTGGTTCAATGTGGTTGAACAGTTGAAAGCTTGTCTTATTTAGACTCCACACACTGCTTTGCTCCGTCGCACGCGGTTGTCAGAGGCACAGTGCATGCGTACGTGTAACACAGTGACGTCGGCGCTGAGGCCTCTACTCTATTTTATGAAGGTTTTATGAAGGAGCATGAATATTAATTAAATATGCCAAGTTAGCGCACTATTTCCGCCATTCAATTTGTTAAGTGAAACGTCACACCACTTTAACCCACACCCACTGCATGTGAAATTCGTTAAGTGAAACGTCACACCTCTTTAACCCACACCCACTGCATGTGAAACAATGGAAACCGAAAGGAAACTTTAGCATTCGTCCAATCGCAGTGTTGCATGACTGACGAAGTCGTACTGACAAGCCGGGTAGAAGCTTGCTCAATTTATGACAGATCGATTTCAATATATGCCGCAAGGCAATCAAAATGGCGGTAAAACACCGTAACGAAACTGCCGCGAAACAGATTTTCGTTGTCACGAAAAGAGGGATATTTAGTGCCAAAAATAAAGACGCAACGCAGGTTTGGAATTTTATTGATCAATAACATTATTTTCGAAAAATCACAATGCACACTTGCGTATACATGTACACACTTTTTTGCGATGTTTGCGTACATGTAACTCCGAAATATCATGACGAATAATTGTGACAACTCGAACAGAACCGATGTACGGAAAAAGGATGATTACTACAGTAAAATGAAGCCAAACACACAGCAGTAACGTTGAGTGAACCTTGGATTTGAAAATCGTAATGCACTTGTTCTTTTTGCGCGGCAACAATGGGCCTGCTCGTGTGCTGCAGCTGGCTGGGCTGCGCCGTGGCATGCCCGGAGCTTGGAAGCCGGCTTTGATGATTGGTATGCATGTACCTTTACTGCATCAAGACGGTACGTGCACTCAGAAATAAAAAAAAAATAGTGCATGTAATTTACTTTGCTGTTTGCTTGATCTCGCTGTGGTGATACCCTTACGTGGCCCGTGCGTGAGAACAAAACGATTGACGCGCATAAATATAAACAACCCTAATTGTACAGGGAACGAATGCGACGTTAACCTCTCGCGTGTGATTTGAAACCCACGCGTGGCAATTGGAACTTAAT